TTGGTTTTCGAGGTATTAAATGTGACCAGCCAGTTTGTTCGCAACTGATCTGTTAGAGTTCGGTCAGAGGAGAAAACCGCTGCCGTGCTCTGCTCATCGAACAGTTTTAGAGGTGCACTTGTATACCGTGACATCATTAGACACTCACAAATGATCTTAGGCAGGTCATTTATGTAAAGTAGAAAGAGAGTTGGACCGAGACGCGAGCCTGCGTTGATCGCTTGGGCCTCGGAGGACTGGCCGTTAACAATTACCTTCACGGACCTACCCTTTAGGAATGGTCTGATAATTGTGAAAACTCTTCAAGTGATTCTATAGCAAAAGACCTTGTGCAGCAACCTTGTATGCTACACCTTGTCAAAGGCTTTCGAAATAACTCTAATGTAAGCGCCCTTGAGATGTATTGTCTTCTTTCTTTTGTCCCCGTTTATTTCAGTTGTGTTACGCCCCTCCGATTTCCATTAATCCTATAGTAATCAATATACCTAACCTGTTATATATACAACCCTCTAAAGTATTAGTTACCATGCATTACAGTCCACAACACACACACACACATTCTATTTATTATATATTTTCTGTAGTTTTGAAGTTTGATACTAAAAAGTTTATCAGTTTTAGATTAAAGGTAAATAGAATATAAAATTCAAACCCCAAATCAGACGAAAAGCATAGCTATAACTGTTTTATAACGATAAAAAATACTACATTACTTAAAAATCGAAAACCGAAAAGAGTAAATGAAAATATACAGTATAATAAATAAATAATAAAAAACAACTAAAATAAATTAATCTAAATTAATACAAATAAATAAACAAACTAACAAACCTATCCCGACAAATTAACCGTTAGAAAAACAAGTAAAGATAATCAATCCAAATAAATAAATGAAGTAATAAACAAATTAAAAACTGCTCCCGCCAAAATAATAGTTAGAAAAAACTACTGCAACCAACCCCAAAATTGAATAAATAGCTTTATCTTCCCAAATCAAAACAAAACTATTAAATAAGCGATATAAACAAATTTGTACTACGTTAATAAAACACCGCTAATTGTTTATAATTTTATAGCATACTTTGTATTAATTACATTTTCAAAATAAGGTATTAAAATACCAGTATTATTTACTTCCCTTTTGTGTATTATTTCTATTTACTTTCAAGCTGTGATCGAAATGCTAAGGTGATTCCAATTTTCAGAGAAGAAGATGCCCTAATTTTAACAACCAAACAACTATAAAATCTACAGAAAAAGCAATTTATAAATTATTTATAGAGGTAAAAAATACAAGTTATTTTAGAAAAAATAATTTTAAAGTTGAATATGCAAAGTACTTATCTTATTTAAAGAATAACCGCTAAGTTGGGCACAATATAAGAAACATGTTGATAAATGCGAATGTTAGAAAGGTATTCATTTGATGTTGCAGTTAACGCAATATTTGTCAAAGACACACACGGAAAACAACCAACTAATTTTCAAGGTTTTAAGGGGACAACCGCACAAACTTTGAGCTTTGTACATTAGTTTATAACATTTGTTCCTCTGTCTCTCTAAGGCAAATTTAATCAGCATATCTTAATTTGAAATGATTACTGTCTTCTGTAATATTAGCTTTTTAATATCGCCAGATTAGATTTAGGAAAAAAGAATGTTATCAACACTTTCAACGGGATTAGCTTTCGTAGCTCTCAGATTTATTGGCACGTGTCAATATTCATTAAACAACACAGACGTAAATAAATTAAAAGTAAAAAATCTTATCATATAAAAACTTTTTTTCAGCTTTGTTTATCTGTCTGGGGCAAATAAAGAAGGGGGGCCTCATTTGAAGTTAATTTGTGACAACAATGACTATTCTTCTTATAAACTTTCACTCTCGACTCTCTACGAGTTATATCACCGGATATTCTTCTTTATGTGCTTTGCCCTTTCCCGACACGGGCGATGATGGCTCTCCACAGCGTTCTATCCTTTGCACATTTTAGTAATGTTTGTATTTTCAGTATCCCTCCCAATTCCTATTCTGCCAGCCACATACACCACTTCTTAGGTTCTTAGGTTCTTATATATATATATATATATATATATATATATATATATATATATATATATTAATAAAGACAAAAGGAAAACTATTTTTTACCAACGCGTTTTGTCCTCTGATGGACTTTATCAAGCAACAGAAAGTTGATCCACTCTATAACACTAAAAACATGCATATAACGCACACACTCAATTAAATTGAAAAAAATAAAATCATCTTTGATAATGGGTAAATGTATAGCCGAAAGCGCTCGGAATTATAGAACATTTGGACAGTTTCTACACACTCTGTGTCTAAAAAAGAAAGCACTTGTTCGAACACAAGAAAAATTAAATAAAAAGCTTAATCGTAGTGCCTTGTCTGTCGTGTTTAATGAAACATGCATAAATGAAGGATTGCTGCACACACACACACACACACACACACACACACACACACACACACACACATATATATATATATATATATATATATATATATATATGAATAAAAATACAAATACAAGAGGAAAAATTATTCTTAACCAACGCGTTTCGTCCTCTCGAGGACTTTATCAAGGCAAATGTGGAATTTATATTGTTTCACGTGCTCAATAAAATAAATCAAACATAAGGCCATAATTCAAAGTTTGCTAAGACAAAAGTAAGCGGGTAATATTCAATAATTTTTTTAATAAATGAATACTGGCGTTTCGTGCCTTCCACGTATTTTGACTGACCTTTCAAGCACCTGATGAATATTCATGAACGTTCTAAAATTTAAAATCTTGATAAACCAATGGCATCTTTCCTCTTGTGCATAAACACGTGCAATAAAATCAATCCTACATTTGTCTTGATAAAGAATCCCTCAGAGCACGAAACGTGTCGGCTAAAAAGTTTTCCCTCTTGTGTTTTTATTCGTTTTCTTCCTTTACACATACAATCTATCTGAAAATAATTTACACAATTATACATATGTGTGTGCACGCCGACACACACAACAACACACACACACACACACACACACATATATATATATATGTATATACATATATTAAGAAAAATATACGGAAAAAACAAACAAAAATCCTAATATGCAATTATGCTGTTTTAATGTTAATATAATGTCAACGTCGGACGTTTCGGTCTAATAGACCATCTTCAGGACATATTCATAAAACATAATTAACATAGACCATATTCAATTCAACATGAAAAAGACGATGGACATAAAAGCAAGACCAATCCAAACAGATAACTGAAATCTTTTATAAGATCAGCGTTCCGTTTCTAGCAAGATTAATGCTCGACAAACGTACATATAAGTTTTAGATTTAAAATACTCAAATTTTAGGAATACGTTTTCACAACATCGCCCATGTGACGACGACGTGGTCATATTTAAACGGAACGAGGTGGAGAGCCATGAACGCGTACATCCTGAAAGGACATGGTACATAAAAAAGAAAGAAATATTTGCACCTCAGGTTCACTTTGTTGTTATGCTGCGCTCTCAATCAATCAATCAATCAATCAATAATAATAATAATAAAAGAAATACAAAAATTGTTCTCACGAGTACAGCCCACACCTCACAAAGGGATTTATCTACGTCAAATATGTATTTTTTTTTTTTGGTCAGTGGAAAATGTAATGATGTCATTTCTAACTTTAGGTCTCTGGTCGGGACCCGGAAAGAAATGTGTACAGACCAGAAATCAAAGGAAATAATAATAATAATAATAATAATAATAATACCCGGTTACGGAGATAGGACCTGTTACAATTCTATGGGACTACACAATACACACTGACAGAACAATCAAGGCCAACCGGCCAGATATTGTTATTAAAGATCACAAACAAAAACGATGCCTCCTTATTGATATGGCAGTCCCTGCTGACTGCAATGTATATTTGAAGATATTCAAAAACTTGTCAAAGTACAAGGACCTTGAAATAGAAATCTCGAAAATGTGGCATATGGGAACATCAACAATCCCTGTTGTAGTTGGAGCCCTAGGACTGGTTGGAAAAGATTGCAGTAGACTAATTGAAGGGATTCCTGGAAGTCCATGCCTCAAGGAGATACAAAAAATTGTTCTGACAAGTACAGCCCACACCTTACGAAGGGCTTTATCTATGTAATTTAATTCTTTTTTTTTTTTTTTTTTGTCAGTGTCATGACGCCATTTCTAACCTTAGGTCCCTGGGCGGGACCCGGAAAGAAATGTGTAAGCGCCAGAAATCAAAGAAAATAAAAAAAATAATAATAATAATATTTACAATTATCATTATTCTTTCTTGCATAAACGTCGTTTTCTGCAATTATCTAATAATTTTTTAAAACAAAAACAGAAAAACGTTGAAGATAACTGATAGATTTTAAGGGTTCATCAACACTTTGTGGGTTATTCAAAGCCGAAACATATTTTTGACGAGGAATAATAATTTTTTTGCGAGCGTATTTTGCATTAACAATTTCTTTGAAATAATAATGATTTTTCCAGATACAATTCCTATTATTTAAGACATAGCCAGGCTGAGAAAAGGAAAGATTAATACATTTCAATGGGTTTTTGCACGTAAATTAATGTAATGCTATCGACTGTAATTCCTCTCGGCTCCTCCAAGTTCTAAGCCGCTATCCATTACCTCCCCCTGTACATCCACTTGGAAAAAAATAAGAGAGAGAGAAAGAGAGAAAGAGATAGAGAGAGAGAGAGTAAGAGAGAGAGAGAGAGAGAGAAAGGAAGAAACTCTCACGTGCACAAAGCAACAAAGACACTTTTTTATGGAAAGTGCGACAGTTTTTGAAAGAACAGCCAATGACAAATGGATCTCAGTTTAAATTCCTTGAATTAAAACCGAGATAAAATAATTGCAATGGTTAGGAAACCAGGAAAATAAAACTATAATTGTAATAAAATATTTAATAAATCGTAAAGAAAATAGCAAAATGAAAGGAACTGTTAAACAAAAATAACACTATCTATCTATCTATCTATCTATCTATCTATCTAGCTCAGTCTGTTCATTATCTATCTCCGTCTGTTTCTGCCTATCACCGTCTGTTTCTCTCTCTCTCTCTCTCTCTCTAAGTCTGTTCATTATCTATCTATCTATCTATCTATCTATCTATCTACCCAAGTCTATTTATATCTATATATGAAAAACAAAGGTATAAATATAGCTACAGATATTCAGAGTACTTAAAACGATTATTTGATTACTTATTTTAGTGCATCCTTTTACTTATAGTTATTGGCGCGCAGAGCATTATTTAAAGAAATTAGCCTTAAATAATCAACATTGCCTTTTGTATCTGTCACTTATATTATTGCCAACTAAGACATTTTTTACTTTTACATAAGCGGCGAAGTTATCTTTCTAAGTAATACGGCTAATCCAAGGAAGTGCAGCAAAATTTGTTCTAATATTCTATATATATATATATATATATATATATATATATATATGTGTGTGTGTGTGTGTGTGTGTGTGTGTGTGTGTGTGCATGTATATATATACATGTATATATATATACATATATATATGTGTGTGTGTGTATATATATATATATATATACATATATATATATATATATATATATATATATATATACAGACACACACACTGACACACAGAGAGAGGGAGAGAGAGAGAGAGAGAGAGAGAGAGAGAGAGAGAGAGAGAGAGGGGGGAAGCACAATGGAGTAGTGGATAGAGCCGAGATCGAATTCCAGTGGAATCCATTACATTCACTTACGCGCTAATACTTCTTCTCCTCGCCCAGATATTGCTAAATAGCAGGACAGACTGGGTTCTATAGACTTGGATGGCAACTGGTTTAGGAGGAGGAGGACAACACTGAATTCAAAACCTGCGAAGGATCGTTTGGAGACCTGGCGGCACACAGTGCACCAGATCTTTGAATTCAGCTCTCCCAAAAAGTGTGGTCGGTTCTGCCTAAAGCCTTCACCACTGTGCAGGTTGTCTGGATGTCGCTTGCTAGCAACTGAGGTACCTGACCGTCATACGTTGTAAAAAGGTTCCCCAGTAGGCACGGGTCAACAGCCCGCGTTGATCAACGACGGAAGAGTCCACGATATATATATATATATATATATATATATACACAAATGTTTGGAGGTACACAATTTATAAATAGTTTTAAAAACAAGGAAACCATTGATTTTAATTTTAAAAGTCTCTAGGGCCCTTTCAGCCAACATCTCATCAGGAGACAATCGTTGGATTAGCGAAAAGAATATTAACGATATTGAAGAGCAAAAAAAAAAAAAGACCTTGGTGTATAGAGCGCTTAAAGTGTGTTCTCCTATTAGATTGGACCGTGAATTTGGGAACATTAGGGAGATTTTCCTTAGTAACGGCTATCCGGAGGCCCTTATTGACTATATCATTAGTAAGAAGACTAAGGAATTTTTATTCCCAAAATCCAGGGGCCTTCTAAATGTCCGGTTTATTTGAAGATTCCTGGATTGGGGATAGGGGTCAGGGCTTAATTAAGCAGGTTAGCAAGTCGGTTTCGGTTGTTTCCCATCAGTTGTTTTTTACGTAGCATTTTTCAAACTAGGTCTGCGTTTCCGTCTTTTTCGCAAGGATGTATTGCCCTCACATCAAATTGAGTAATTTAGTATATGAATTTAATTGCCAGTGTGCTGCTGGTTATGTGGGGCGTACAACCTTGCATTTGGAAACTAGAATTAATCAGCACGTACCTTCCAAAATACGACTTGGTAAGCTAGATAGAATATGCTATCTTCCCCCCATGAATATGGAATCGGCTATTGCTCAACATTTAGTTGAGAATATAGCTTGTGCCAAGTTGTATAAAAAACAGTGTATTAAAATTATTCATACAGCCGATTCCAATAATCATTTGAAGATTTTGGAATCGGTTTGTATAGATTGGCACAGTGGAAAAAGGCGTTGGTTAGATCCCTGACTCTGCCGGGCAGTGGAGAACTTTCAGAGAAAAATTTATAAGGTCTAACTGATAACTGAATCACCAAATATGGGACGTGGAATTTTAACTCTACCCCAGCGATCGAAATAAAGGGTTCAATTCGAAATTTACACGATCCGTACAGCCTTCCCTCGTTACAAAAACGTTGTGACAAATATGGCGACAAAGATGAGGACAATAGTCCGACCAATGTAAATATGTACATAATATCTCAGAAATATAGTTATTTTGGAATCGGTTTGTATAGGATTTAGAAAACCTTCTCTCTGCCGGCAGAAAAGAATTTTTTTTTTGGGGATATTTTATTTTAACTGTCCCTCGTTAATTTATTTACACGATCCATTTCGTTACAAGTATATATACTTGTTTGTTATTTTAGTGTGTTTCCCTTTTTTTTTTTTCTCTTCAATATGTTAATATTCTTTTCGCTAATCCAACGATTGTCTCCTGATGAATGTTGGCTGAAAGGGCCCTAGAGACTTTTAAAATTAAAATCAATGGTTTTGTTTTGTTTATATATATATATATATATATATATATATATATATATATATATATAGAGAGAGAGAGAGAGAGAAATATATAGGAAAGGAGAGATAAATGGCGCATAAATTATTTTTTTGACTAAAAATAACGAACATTTTGTTGTCAAATCTTGATGAGTGGAACGAACCATTACAAAGTGGTTCGTCTGCGAAACTCTGGAGTCAGATTGCTGAATATAACATCATTCATGTAAATGACAAATTTTATATTTGTATTAATCCTATCTATCTATCTATCTATCTATCTATCTATCTATCTGCCCCCCTCTCCTCTCTCTCTCTCTCTCTCTATATATATATATATATATATATATATATGTGTGTGTGTGTGTGTGTGTGTGTGAGTGACACTAGTGAGATTTTTGCCACTTAGCTGATTGGTGTTACTTTCAGGATCCCGACTCCAGAGTTTCGTCCATCCTCACGTCAAGGGCTATCAGCAATTGCCTTCTCGATTTCCATTTTTATATGAACTTTTCATTGGTGTATTTTTCTTTCACAATGTGTGCGTGCGTGTATGTGTATTTGAGCACAAGCGTCCATGCCCCCTTCTGGGTATATGTGCGTATGTGTAGAATGTCGGGCTTATTTGTCCTTTTCGTGGTTTTTTTGACTTTACACTCACTCATTATTGTATTTTTTTTTTTTTTACTTTTTCTCTCTTCTTTTCTTTTTCCCCTTTTCTTTCAATGGCAGTTATTTAGACTTACGGTCTTTACACACAAGCTTATATATATATATAACGTTTTTATTTTATTTTATTTATTTTTTTACTTCAGTAGTTAATAATTTTTGGAAATTACTATTAGATTTTGTGAATTTAATATTGTCTATCATAGCAAGCATGTCCTTTTCGAAGTTAGTCAGCTCTTCAATGGCAGGCGGGTAAGTTTTGCTTTTAAATTTGAATTTTTCGGTGTTTTCTTTGTTTTTTAAATATTTATTTAACGAAAATAGTGCTTTCCACCTCATTCTGGTAAGGAATTGCTCATTTTTTTGTAATAAATCCAGCATGTATTCTGAATTCCATAAAATATTTTAAAAAAACACAGTTAAATTAAGCTACAGCTGTACTAGTAATTTTGAAACCAAAAAAAAAAAAAGACAAAACGACAGAAATTTCAAAACTAACGTGCAGCAAAACATGGTTAACAATAATATATGCAATTGTAGAAATAAAAGCAGATGTCCATTAGATGGAGTTTGCAAAACTGAAACTGTAATTTACAAGGCAGAAATAATAGATACAAATGACCAGAAAAATATACATAGTGTATATTGAGGGTAACTTTAAAAAGCGGTGCTAGAATCATGTCAACTTTTCAGCTAGGAAGCCTTAGAAATTCTACTGAACTAGACAACCACGTGTGGAAGTTAAAAGAGAAAGATAAAGAAGATCCGATTGTAAATTGGAAAAAATAAAAAAAAAAGCTGAACCTTACGACAATCATAGCAGCATCTGCAACCTTTGTCAACAAGAGAAATTAGCTATAATAACATTTCCAGACCAAAACACCTTTTAAACCAGAGATCGGAAATTATGTTTCTGTTGAGTTCATTTGGTGTGGGATAAAAAGAACGTATGTATATTTTATTTAATCCCCCGCCCACCGATACATTTCCAATTTTACTTGATTTTCCCCTCCTCCTCACCTTCTATCACGCCTCATGTTTTATTCATTTATTTGTTAGCGTTCGTAAATTTTTATTTTTAAAAATAAAGCATTATGAAATCAATTGATCGAAATCACCTTAAGATACCGAAAGGTTGAAACCAATGTAGTGGAATTGGCTGATTTTCTAATTTTCTATACTTAAAAGCTCTACATGTTAAATTTTTATCTTTTTAGATGTGCACTGAGCACTTTTTTAACACTACTGTTTCCTTGTCTAATTCAACCCTGACCATTAACTTTATTATTATTATTATACATATATATGTGTGTGTGTTTGTGTGTGCATGTGACATACTTATTTACTCACTATCTCATGTTCTTCATATCTATCATTTGACAGGTGACAAAATTTCGTTACCGCCGCACACACACACACACACACACACACACACACACACACACACACACACACAAACACACACACACACACACACAGAGATGCCTCCCGCCACTGCTTCATTAAAAAAAGTAAATGAGAAAATGGAATAAGTTTCATCATACAAACGTTAGCTTCGAATGCCATTTGCACAGTAAAAAGAACAAAACAACAGCCATCAGCAAATTGAATAGAACAACTATTGGGATCAAGAGAACATCTTATGAATAATAAGTGCTTTAGAGTTATTTTCTGAATTGATAACATAATAAAATGTCAAATAAAATAAAGGAATAAATGATTAAAATCAGTTAGTTATGTGAGATGGAGGATACACGCTGAGGCGAACATGACTAACGAGGCAGATTTTTTGCCGTAGTAGGTTGGCATTTCTTTCGGCGGTAGGCTAGTTGCCATGCAAGGCTATTTACCCACATGGGGGTGGGGGAGAAGAAGAGGATCCATACCCTTTTTTCCAAGGGTATTAGACTGGAATTCGAACTCAGCTCTCCGATTCCTCAATCCGAGCTGCTATCCATTACTCCGCCGTGATTTCTCCTAATTAAAGACTTTGTAGCTTCTATC